AATAGTTGCAATTATGACAACAGTACTTTAAATTAGAACTTATCCTGAAAGCATGAGGTAATATGAAGTAATATGACGAAATTATAACAAATGTATTTTAAATTGAAACTTATATCGAAAATAGCTGTTTGAATTTAAAGTAATCATAACAACTTTAAATTAGAACTTATTCTGAAAGCATGAAGTAATATGAAGTAATATGACGAAATTATAACAAGAGTATTTTAAATTGAAACTTGTATCGAAAATAGCTGTTTGAATTTAAAGTAATCATAACAACTTTAAATTAGAACTTATTCTGAAAATAACAGTTCAAATTTAAAGTAACATTATGCTTTTTATGCTCCTTGTTTTTCATACACTATGTTGACTCAGTCTAATGTTTTTCCTTCATGTTAATAAGTAGCAATTAAATTAAGCAGGATGTGTTTGCTTTAAGGATACGACATTCTATCTTTGTAAGAGGCTATCTTTGCAATCTTACGCAGATCACTGCAATTATTTAATTGAATTTCAGAGATAGAGAAATATCACGAATTAGTAATTCAAGTAAGTATATCATTGATATTTGCCAAAAATTCATCCGAGCAATTATAACAGTGCACACCTAAATGCACCGAGAAACGATCATAAACACGATTTCACATTTCTTTGATCGAACGAAGTGAAACTCGTCACTAGAGATTTCTGCAAGATGCGAAATATGTTTCAGCCAATTAAGTCCACAGTATCGAACGAATTTCGAAAAGATAACACGCAGAAGCTACACGCTGCATCGAAGCCGTATTATTCTGTAGCACGGTTCGCTGCGAATTCCGAATGACGTTGAAGACTCGTATCGAAAAGTGTCGGTAAATTCTTCGATCCAGATCACAGTGGCAACAACAGTCCAAAAATCGATCGAATCAACGGACCTACGTCGACCCGTCTGTTTTGATTCTCCTGTGTCCTCGAAACGGAATCCCTAAAACAATACGCGAAAACGTCCGACACATGCCGGCAGGGGGGAGGGGAGGGGGTTGTCGAGTAGTATCGCCGGTTACAATCGATAATCGCGGATGGGCAGAGATTTTTAATTGCGCACGGTTTGATTTTCCACTTTGAACTTTCGTTTCAGTCGTGAACGAGCCAATCGTCGCGAGCTTCCGCGTACTTTCCGACGCAGTCCGCGTCCTCGTCGCGTACACCTCTCGCCGTCTCATTAACAAAGAGTCATTGTTCTTCCCGATCGGTTCGGGCCTGCAGATCTGTTCACTTCTCGAAATTGTTCGGGCGGAGAAAGTCTCGCGAATGTCGCTCGTGTCCGAGCTGAGCACAGCTGTTCCGATAATGGCCGGACGGTTGGTCGGATGGTTTAGATGAAACCGCCGAGAGCGTCGTGGAAATCTTGCAAATAGGCGAGCAGTTGAGGCATCGTCGGCCGGTCCCTGGACAGGCCTAGCCAGCAGACCGCCATCAGGGCGAAAAGCTCGTCCGGACACGGCCTAGGTTGAGCCAATCGATAGCCGTCCCGAAGACACGCCATCATCTCGAATGGGTCCACTTCGACGTACGGCTGCTGGCCCAGAGTTGCTAGCTCCCACAGAAACACTCCGAACGACCACTGTAACAGAAATAAGATTCATCATAGTGGTGCACGGTTAACCGTTTAGGTACGGCTGAATTCTGCGCGAGGATATTTCTCTGGACGACAGAGTCTGATATGTACTGTACAGAGTCTGATACTGTATATTCTGTCTGTATATACAGGGTGTCCCAAAAATGTCTCGCAATCCGAATGTGGCGGATTCCTCGGGCCATTTGAAGCAACTTTTTCCTTTACAAAAATTTTCTCCGGGGCGCCGTTAACGAGTTATTAACGAAAAACAGTGACCAATGAGAGGCGAGCTCGGCTGGCGCGAGGCGATCGAGCCAATGAGCGGAACTGGGCTTCGCGCGCTGGCTGGCTGGGCCGCCTCGCGTCAGCCGTACTCGATTCTTATTGGTCACTGTTTTTCGTTGATAACTCGTTAACGGTGCCTCGGAGAAAATTTTTGTAAAGGAAGAAGTTGGTTCAAATGATTCGAGGAACCCGCCATTTCCGGATTGCGAGACATTTTTGGGACACCCTGTAGACTGTTGTAAATCGATGCGAAGACAAAAGAAGTGTGAAACAATGCATATGAAGACGATTATTTGATTCAAACGATGACCGATTAAGCTACTAGAGTAAGCCACTATAGTGGCGCGTCGTCCAGAGAGAT